CTAGCTGAAGCAGCGCCAGAGAGCTCACCCTGGTGGTGTGGATAAGGAGACTCTGTAGGCCGACCAGCTCAGCTACCACCCAGGCCCAGATCCAGGGCTCTGAGTTGACCCACCGCAACGTCTATCTGCAAGTGGTTAGGATGCATGTAAGGGCTAGTCTTACAGATCCAAAGCTGCAGGATCTCCATGACACAGGGCAACAACAGGATAAACTTCACACTGTGACATATTACAGTTTCCACAATGAGATGGGTTTTTCTATGCTCTCTCTCTCTCTCTTCCTCTCTCTCTGTGTTATTGGGGGGAGGTTGCAAGGATGAAGGGCAGAGATGAGGGGACAGAGATAGGGAGATAAGCAGGACTGAGATGCCTGATGTGAAGCTCTCAAAGAATCAATAAAAAGTTTTTAAAAAATGGAGAAAAATGCCATTGACCAACTAGACTGAACATGTATATATAGAATATTCATTCAGCTAGAATACTCGTTCTTGTCAATGCCCCAGAACATTCTCCAGGAATAACCAAACCAAGGCCATAAAATGAGTCTTTTAAAAAAATTTTTTTTTTCTGTGCTAGGTATCAAAACCAGGGCCTCAGCCATAGCAGGCAAGTGCTCTCCACTAAGCTGCACTTCCATACCTAAAATAAGTCTTTTAATAAAAGATTTATCATCTAGAGTATCTTCTGATCACTGTGGAATTAAACAAAAAACCAGTAGAAGAAGTAAAGCTGGAAAATCCATGAATATTTGAAAATAAAGCAACACACAGGCAATCCACCAAAAAAAGGGTCACAAAGAGAATTCTAAAACTTCTTGACACAAGGGGAATATGCGTTTGTGATATACAAGAGGAGAACAATCTCAAACCAATAGCCTAACTTTATATCTGAGGAAACCATTAAAAGAACAAATTAAAACCAAAGGAAGCACATCTTTTGGATATATGCCTAGGGGTGGTATAGCTGGGTCTTGAGGAAGCACTATTCCTAATTGTCTGAGAAAGTGCCAGATTGATTTCCAAAGTGGTTGTACAAGTTTGCATTCCCACCAGCAATGGAGGAGGGCTCCCATTTCTCCACATCCTCTCCAGCATGTGTTGTCACTTGAGTTTTTTATTTTAGTCATTCTGATGGGTGTAAGATGAAATCTCAGGGTCATTTTGATTTGCATCTCCCTGATGGCTAAGGGCATTGAGCATTTCTTTAAGTGTTTCTCTGCCATTCAAGGACATTTGCTCAACCATGTTTGTAGCAGCTTTATTCATAATAGCCAGAACCTGGAAACAACCCAGATGTCCATTAACAGAGGAATGGATACAGAAATTGTGGTACTTTTACACATAGAATACTACTCAGCAATTAAAAATGAGGAAATCATGAAATTTGCAGGCAAATGGTGGGACCTAGAAATGATCATCCTGATGATCATTTGGGATGAAGTATCCCAAAAGCAGAAAGACACACGGTATATACTCACTCATATAAAAATACAGCATGGATGTAGGAGAAAACAAGTAACAGGACAGGAGCCTACCGCAGAGGGCCTCTGAAAGACTCTACCTAGCAGTGTATCAAAGCAGATATTAAGACTCATAACCAAACCTTTGGCAGAGTGCAGGGAATCATATGAAAGAAGGGGGAGTTAGTAAGACCTGGAGAGGACAGGAGCTCCACAAGGACCAAATATATCAGGGCACAGGGGTCTTTCATGAGACTGTTTCTATAACCAAGGACCATGTATGGATATAACCTAGAACCCCTGCTTAGCTATAGCCCATGGTAGCCCAGTATCCAAGTGGGTTCCCTAGTAAAGGGAACAGGGACTGTTTCTGACATGAACTCAATGGCTGGCTCTTCAATCCCCCCCAACCAAGGGAGGAGCAGCGTTGCTAGGCCACAGAAGAGGACATTGCAGCCAGTCCTGAAGAGATCTGATAAGCTAGGGTCAGATGGAGAGGGAGGAGGTCCTCCCCTATCAGTGGACTTGGAAAGGGGCATGGAGGAGATGAGGGAGGGATAGTGGGATTGGGAGGGAATGGGGGAGGGGGCTACGCCTGGGATACAAAGTAAATAACCTGTGATTAATATTAAAAAATTATTATAAAAAAACCAAAGGAAGCAGAAGGAAATAATCAAGATTAGAACAGAGAAATAAAACAGAATAGAAAAATGACAAAAGAAAAAGATAATGATATGGAAGGCACAGCTTTCAAAAAAAAAATCAATAAAATTGACAACAGTAACAAAGCAGAAACACCGCTGAAGAATCATAGCCAACACACCAGATGAGGGTGCTCATCCAGCATTATATAAGAGCATGCCAGCCTAAGACAGATCATAAAACAAAATAGGCATACAGTTAGCAAGTGAAATGAATTAGTAACCAAAAATCTCTGAACAAAGCAAAGCCCAGGACCTGTTGGCATCACTGGAGAATTCTACCAAACATTTAAGGAGAAATTCCCAACATCATCTAGCTCTTCCCAAAAACTAAGGAAGGACTTTCTCAGGACCATTTTTAAAAGATAGTGTTATTGTTCTAACACCAAAGACATGCAAAGGCAAGGAAAACTAATGACCAATATATCTGATTGATTAGTACTGAAGGAAAAGTCCCTAATAAGGCACCAGCAAACCAAATTCAACAATATAAACAAAATTTGGACACTGTGATCAAGTAGGGCTTATTTCTGGAAAACGAGAAATGAAAGTCTGGGTAGACTGTCACACTAACAGAATGAGGGACCACAGCTTAAGGATCACCCCAATACTGGTATGACATGTACAAAAATCAGTACCTTTCCATGACACAAAATATTCAACAAAGCAGAGTGAAGGGAAATTATCTTCACATAAGGAAGGCCACATGTGACAAACCTATGTCTTATAGGAAACAGGGATGAAAGACTGACAGCCTGAGTTGCCAAGGTGGTTCAACAGGTAAAGGCGTGTGTCGCCAGGCTGTCTTCCGTCCCCAGAGCCCACATGGTGGAAAGACAGAATTGACCTTCTGTGCACAATGGTACATGCAGACAGTACAATAAATAAATACAGCTGTTTCTGTAGACAAAGAAAACAAGATGTCTGATTTATATTTATATTTAATAAGGTACTGGAATTTTTCTAGCGAGGTTAACTTTGCAAATGAGTTTTAAAAGAAAAAAAAAACAGCACCCACATCTGAAAGAAACAAGTAAAACGGCCTGTTTACAAGTTACATGGTCTTATTACATAAAGAAAACTCTTAAATTTTAAATCCAATAAAGTGACAGGAGACAAATTAACGTGTCAACATGCTCAAGGGGAGTGCTCTAAAAAGTTAACAATGAAAACAGTAACATCCATAATAGTCTCAAAAGCAGTAAAATAACTTAGCAAGGAGGTGAAAGATTTGTACTGAAAATTGTTGCAAGAGGAAGTAGACAGCCAGGTGTGGTAGCACACACCTAAAGCCCCTAGAGTTGGAAGACTGAAATGGGAAGATCCCTGAGTCCAGCAGTTCCGATCTAGGCGGACAACATGTATAGACTCTGTCTCAAGGAGGAAAACATGTAAACACAAAACCGAAAGATATCTTATATTCATGAACCAGAAAACAAATATTGACAAATGGCAGCTCCAGGGAAGGCAACTGGCTCATCAGTACAACTCCTGTCAAACTGCCATGATGGTTTTACGAAACTACAAAGACGGGTCTTAATTTTTAATGGTTTTATTCATTTGCATCTGTGAGCATGTGGAACTCAGAGGGACATCTACAGGAGTCAGCTTTCTCCCTCCATTACGTGGGTTCTGGGGATCAGACTCAGGTTTTCAGGCTCAGTGGGGAACCTACTGAGTCATCTTGACAGCCCTCTATAAAAAGTTCATACGGAAGCAAAGGAAGCTGAATAGTTAAGGAAACCCTGAAGGATAATGTCAGATGTTACTCTTCCAGATTTCAAGGATAGAGTAATGAAAACACTGTGATACTTAAGTAAAGGTAAACCTATAAACCAATGGAATAGATCACCATAGAGACCCAGCCACAAACTTTCAGGTATGGGGTCAAACAATTTTCATCAAGGATGTTGGGACCACAAGTGGAAAAGGCAGTGTTTCTTCAGTAAGTTCAGCAAGTGGTGTCCTGGAAATTGTGTACATATGTAAAACCCTAAGTACTTAAATCTTTTACAAAAAATAACTCAGAATAATGAAAGATTTAAATGATAGACCCAGAAGTACAAAACCCCTAGAAGAAAACAGGGGTTTAACCTCACTGGTGGCTGTGATGGGGCATCTAGAGGGTGACAGAAGTAGTGGGTGTGGACACTGAGAAACAGGAAGTGGACGACATGAATGAAAGGAAAAAGGAAAAGCTAAGGTTAAAAAGGCTGCTGTGCCATTCTCACCTTCCACCTTCCTTTCCTAGGCCTAAACTCACTCACTGTGGCCCGGAAAGGCCAGGGCTTCCTGAACCCCACATGATAGCTGATGGCCTCACTTTAAATTCTTAAAATAATACTTATCTAAAGAAAATAAAAGATATTTGGGAGGCCTGGGGAGATGCAGTTAAAAGTATGTCCTTGCTCCTGCAGAGCACATGTACATACTCAGAAAACACCTAAAAAGATTTTCCTCTTAACTCTATGTAGTATATATTAATGTAAAATCATTTCTTACACTTGTCCAAAATAATGAACTAGTATGACAATGGAGTAACATTAAGAAAAGTTTAGACTATAAAGTGTTGATAAAGGACTGGGAAAAGGCAAAATATAAATGAATTTTCAAATTTGCTCTTGAGAACACTTGTAGTTCGCCCACTGGCGGAGTAGAGCGGCAGCACTCCTAAGATGGGACCCACCAGGGTCCTCTGCTCCTGCCGTCCCGCCAGGTGCTACACAGCAGAGAACAAAGGGAAAAGCTGCACTGCGCACATGAAGGCTGTTAGACACGAACTAGTTAGCAGAAAGTCTGTTTTCATTTTTCTCATATCTTACTCATTGTGTACAAAACAGAACTCCTGGGGGCCCTGGACAGAAGGGACATGCCAAATGAAGTGTTTGCTGGCTTGGCTTTAACACCTGAAGGAGAAAGCACATTTCCAGATCCTCTTCCTTCCATTGGTTCAATGCACAAACATACTATTCAAAAGAAAAGGCCAAGTGCCCCTTCTAACAGGTAAGATGTGTTGAATTGAAAGTTTACTACATAAAGAAATAGTTCACATTCAGCACTTTATACATGACCTTGTATGTTGGTTTTGTATCTTGCCACTTTGCTGAAAATATTTTTATCAGATGCAAGAGCCTTCTGGTAGATGCCATTGGATCATTTTTGTGTCATGTCATCTGCAAATAGAGATAAATCCTCTTGTTTTCTTATTTATATCCCTTTTATTTATTTTTATTATCTTATTTCTATTTGTAAGACTCCAACCTCAGTATTAAATGAGAGTAGCGAGAGCGAGAACCCTTGTCTCATTCTAAGTTATAGAGGAAATGGCCTCGAGATTTTCTCGTTGAGTGTAACTTTGTCTATAGATTTAACATACGCAGCCTTTGTTCTATTAGATGTGCTTCTTCTGCACCTAGTTTCCTCAGGGCCCTCATGCAAGCATGCCGAACTGTCAGCTGCCTGCCCTGAGCCTACTGAGATAATGATGCAGTTTGTATTGGTGTACTCTGTAATGGTGTATCGCATTTACTGATTAGCATATTTTGAACCAACCTTGCATTCTTTGGATGAAAACAGCTTACTCGTGATGTAAAAATCTTCTTAATATGTTAATTGAATTTATTTTCCAAGGTTTGTTTTTGTTTTTATTTTTGTGTGTGAACCAAAGGAGCATAATTAGGGTTACTCACAAGACTATGAGTAAGGAGTTATTTACGGGAGTGGGAGAAACTTACCAGAATGGCTCTAGCACAGAAGGAGACGCCTCTCCCTTCCCAGCGATTATTTAATTGCCTATAGGTCTGGCCTCCTCTACTACCGCCAGCATGTGGTGCATATAAACTCATCCAGGCAATAGACATAAACTTAATGTTTTAAAAAGATTGTTTTCTTATTTTTTTAATCACGTAATATTTATGAAAGTCCTCAAGAAGGGGCAAGGCTCGTGAGTCCCTAGTCCACGAAAGCATGTTGACAGGCCCGGTCCCCTGAAAGCCTTGTGCAGGTAACCGCAGTTCCCTAAAGTTACAGTGGCGCAGCATCCAGGAAACAGCATCTTACCCTTTGCTCTCGCTCTCACACTTCTCCCGCTCCACTGTGTGGTGATGGAGATGTCCCACCTATGGCTGACAATCCACAACTGCCCCTGCAGCACTTGACGTCCATTATGAGTCTCTGCAGCAGCCTCCGCCCACTGCAGAACGAGGCTTCTCTGACCACAGGACAGTAGAAGACAATCCAACAGGCACATCATGTCAGTTATCAAAACAACATTAGTATCTTCCTCACTAAGGTTTATCACCTTGCCAGTCATGGGCCACTCACAAGGTTTATAGCGCCACATGGACTCCCTCATAGGGCGCATTCCTGAAATTTAATTTAGAAGCCATTGCTCACCTGCGTAAATGCCGCGCCACCTCTGCACTAGCGGGTCTGGCCTAGCCATTAGATTATCACACAGGTGGCTGGTCCACAACCGAACAAGACTTGAGGACAGCTCTCTCACGGCAGCCGGCACAGCCCCGCCTGGCACTGTGAGGGCTGTCTTCCTGGGAGGGACCCTGCTGCTCAGTTTCAGTTTTAGTTCTCAGTGTTTTAAGACCAACATATGTGCTGTATTCAACAAGAGTCCTACAATCTACTACTGGTGGCAATCAACAGGATAGCTATATCCTTTATTGTTTTGGGGACCTCAGGAGCCAATCCCTGACCCGGATGTTTTTAGTTAAGAACCTCAGGTTTTCTAGGAGTTGGGTTATCCGCTTGCACAGGGTGCCCCTGTCCAAACTTTTATCTTTAATTAGCCAACAAAATACTCTTCTCAAGTCTGCGCCATCTTTTCCCTGTCTTAGCTTCTTTACACAATGGACAATAGACACATTGTTGGGTGTTGAAGTCTCCCACTATTAATGTTTGGGGTTTGATGTATGATTTAAGCATTCATAATGTTTCTTTTACAAATGTGGGTGCCCTTGTATTTGGCATAGTTATTCAGAATTGAGATATCATCTTGGTAGGTTTTTTTCTTTGATGAGTGTGAAGTGTCCTTCGTTGAAAGTCTATTTTATTAAATATTAGAATGACTACTCCAGCTTGCCTCCTGGGTGTGTTTTCTTGGAAAATCTTTTTCTATCCCTTTACTCTGAAATAAATTTATCATTGTTGCTGACGTGTGTTTCTTGTATGCAGCAGAATGATGGGTCCTATTTTCACATCCATTCTGTTAGTCTGTGTCTTTTTATTGGAGAATTGATGTTGAGAGTATTAATGATCAATGATTGTTGATTTTTGTTATTTTGATGTTGCTGTGTATGTGTGCTGTGTGTTGTGTAGTACGTATAGTATTTGTGTGTGGTGTGTGTAGTGTGTGTGCATGCATGTGTGTGGTGTATGTTTGGATGCTTCCCTTCTTTTTGTTTTGCTGGTGTGGAATTATTTTTCTTTGTTTTCTTGTGTGTATTTAGGCTCCCTGAGTTGGAGTTTTTCCAGTATCTTTTGTAGGGATGTATTTGTAGATAGATAGTGTTTGAATTTGGTTTTCTCATGGAATATCTTGTTTTCTCGATCTATGGTGATTGAAAGTTGTGCTGGGTATCGTAGTCTTGGCTTGCATATGTGTCTCTTTGAGACTGCAAGACATCTGCCCAGGCCCTTCTGGCTTTTAAAGTTGAGAACTCTGGTGTAATTCTAATAGGTCTGTCATTGTATGTTATATGCCCTTTTAACCTTACAACTTTTAATATTCTTTCTTTGTTCTGTACATTTAGTGTTTTGATTATTATGTGGTAGAAGGATTTTCTTTTTTGGTCTAATCTATTTGGTGTTCTGTAAGCTTCTTGTATGTTTATAGGCACCTCTTTCTTTAGATAAGAGAAATATTCTTATATGATCTTATTGAAAATATTTTCTTGGTGTTTTAGCTGGGAATCTTCTCCTTCTATTCCTATTATTCTTAGGTTTAGTCTTTTCATGGTGTACCAAATTTCCTAGATGCTTTTTGTAAGAAACTTGTTAGATTTGGCATTTTCTTTGACCAGTGTTATCAGAAGAAATATTGTATCGTCTATGTCTGATGCTCTGTCTTCTATCTCTTGTATTCTGTTGGCAATGCTTGCTCTGTGGTGTCTGGTTTCTTACTTAGGTTTTCCATCTCCAGGATTCCCTCATTTTGTGTTCCCTTTATTGCTTCTATTTCTATTTTCAGGTCTTCAACAGTATTATTCATTTCCTTGCCCTGTTTGATTGTATTTCTCTGTATTTCTTTAAGGGATTTATCCATTTCCTCTTTAAAGGCCTCCATTATCTTTATAAGACTGGATTTAAGGTCATTTTCTTGTACTTCAGCTGTGTTAGGATATCAAGGGTTTGCTGTAGTAGGGTAGCTGAGCTCTGGAGGTGCCATATTGCCCTAGATTTTGTTGAGTGTGTTCTTACACTGGCCTTTAGCCATCTGTTTGTTCCTGGTGCTGGAAGGCCTCCAGGGATGTAGGCAGAGTTTTGGTCTGGAAAATGGAGTGCATGGGGTCAGGGGGACACAGCTCACTGCTCCTATGATACATTTTTTGTCTTTGTATTTATGTTAAACGTGTTTATCATCCAGCCTCTTAGATTTTTTTAGTTCTTGTTGAGAAATTTGCTGTTAAATGTGACTTGGTGACTTCTCTACTTACTTTATTCTATATTTTAGTACTGTGAATATACTATGACATTGTGAGGTTCTTTTCTTGTCTGTTGGGCATTCTAAATGCTTCCTGTGTCTGGACTGGAATCTCCCTAAGTTTCTGCTATCATTTTTTTTTTCAAAAAAATTTTTTTTTGTATCCAAGAATCTTAGATTTGGTGTTTTCATAGTGTCTCATATATCTTGGAAGTAGCCAAATTTCTTTCTTCCTCATTTGTATAAATTCCTTCACCTTGTCTACAAAGTCAAATATTCTACCCCTTCCTTGAAGACTTAAATGGAGCTTTTTTATTTAATTTTCTAGTATTTCAGTTTGGGTTTGTTTGCTTGTTTGTTTGTTTGTTTCAGAATCTATGTCCCTTCATCCTTTTACTGAATTCTTCTCTTATATCTTGTATTGAGACTACCTTATTTCACAAGTTGTTGTGTCTTCTGAAAATTCTTTCAGAAGTTTGTGTCTTCTTAGATTTTTTTAAAACTTATTTATCCTCATTCTTTTAAGGTAGGTTTTGTTTTTTTGTTTGTTTTTTGGTCTGGGATTTAATTCACTCACACTGAAGGTCATTATTGTGGGATTAATAATTTTTGGAGGAGTTATGTTTCTTTGGTTTTTATGTTACTTTCTTTTTTGCATCAGAACTTGCACATCTGCATTTAGGTGGTTGGTGAATTTAATAATTTAATAATAATTAACACACTTTTATTTATTTATTTGACATAGACTTAATCTGTCAGAGGAGCCGTTTGCATGCCCGTGTTTGCTGTGTTGTTTTTCTCTGCTGGGCTGGTAGTGAAGGGCCAGGCTCTACCTTCCCCCATCACTACACTGCAAGTAGAATATTGTCTGCAGCCCCAATACCATCACAGGGTAGGCCCACAGTACAAGTACAGTAATAGTGAAATAAAGAATCAGTCACTTTTAAGTACCAATTATTCTAGGAATAAAGGGTACAATGTTATAGATTAGTTACTGTGGGTATGGGTGGAAAGGAAGGATAACTCAAGCTAAGACTAATGGTTAATATCAGGTTGACGGGGAGATGTAAGTAGAAGTCGGTGTGGCAGAGACAAAGGCTGGAGGGCTGGTGGTTGTGACATGTATAACTCTGCTTCAGGAAACTGTGTATGGATCCTGCAGGCCATGCCAGACTATGTGCTTTAGTGGGAACAAATGGAAAGTGGAGGGGAAGGGAGGAGAAGGAACTAGTGAACACAGCAACAGATCAGGCCTGCTAAGTTGACATGAATGTTAAATAAAAACTATATGAATGAGGAATACACAGAGTAAGTGTGCCGGGTAGAGCTGGTACAGAGCATGAAGGCA